TCAGATGTGCTCCTCTGGAGCACCCACAGCACCCACATTTTTCCAAAGAAGAGCTGGTAGTAAAATGGAAAATACATAGCAATTGATATTTCCACTGTAGTTACTGTATTATTTCTTATATTCACCTATACAGACTTGGAGATTCATTCTTTTAGTCCACTAATTTATGAAAGCAGAGCCATGACATTCAGCAAATTTGCATCATGAATTATATAACAATTGCTGTTTGTTAAATTTTTGTGGTTATTTTGCTATTTATTTTCCTTTTTTTTTGCAGTTTTTGGCCAGGGCTGGGTTTGAACCCGCCACCTCCGGCATATGGGGCCGGTGCCCTACTCCTTTGAGCCACAGGCGCTGCCCTGTTTATTTCCTTTTTACAGTAACATATTTCATTTTATATTTTTCAGTCTAGTTGTTGGGGTGGCAAAGCTTCTTCAACTGTAAAAAACTGACGTTCTAATGAAAGCCTTATTTTCACGTAGCCTCCTATGTAACATATTATTTTCTTCTACTTAATAGAAGGAGATGTAAAATCTGGATTCTTGTATACCACACGATAGAGCATGCAATCACACCCAAATATGACATGCAATTGAAATCCTTGGTCACCACCAATTATTTGAGTCAAAAGTCATTTGTCTGGATTTGCGGTTTTCTTACTCTGTCTTTTGTTTCTCTATTTCCCAATATGTTCTATGGTAAATAGGATCCTGTAGCTCAGAATTTTTTTTTTACTGCCTATTTCCATGAAAGGTCTAGCCTGCTTTGATCTGACTACAGCATGTCCTTTTTAAGGCTGTTACAGCCACCAACTGATGATATGACTTCACATGAAGCAGCAGGAGATGAACTGTGAAGCAATGTAAAATAATTCTTGCTTTTGAAAGTTCTGGAAGCAAAGAGATGAAGCGAAAAGTATTACAAGTGTCAGAAAATTTATCCAGAAAAATTATTTCTAGCTAGAAATAATTCAATATATGTTAAAGCATTTCTGGATATATGATGCTACCACAAAGAACCTATGTTTGGTGCTGGTTATTTTTTATCCCTTATATCCAGATAAGAAAGCCAATGATTGGTGTCTTCTCTTAACAATCTGCCTCTGTTCTTTGCACAAGATTTTGCTGGGTAAGCGTACATAAGGATATGCAGTTTACCCGCATCCCTCATTTTATTGATTTGGACACCATGATTTTTGTTTCATTATTTTAAAGTATTATTGAAAAAATGGAATTCTTATTCATCTTCCTTGTATAGTATCCTTAGTTTAGAAGTATAGTTGACCAAAGAAAGGAAAGAATATTTTTTAAAACTACCTATTTCTTAAATTAATGGAGTTTGTCTATGCCCTGGGCTCTTCCAGGTATCCATTCAGACATCTTCTCTTTCTTTGCATGTGACTTAGAGAACTTCACGGAACATTTGACAGTGGGTGAAGAAGCACATGAATTTGTTGCAGAACTGAAGGCGCCTGGGAAATACAAGTTATCGGTGACAACCTTTAGTTCTTCAGGATCTTGTGAAACTCGAAAAAGTCAGTCAGCAAAATCACTCAGCTTTTATATCAGTAAGTAGCAAAGAGATTATTTTGCACTTGTGGGAATCTAGAACGTTGAAACTGGTGAGATTAACAATGCTCGGATGTCAATTATTCACCAACCTTAGAGATCTTGAGAATTCTTCAAGGTCAGGAGAGGCCCAGATCCACATGAGCTTTTGAAAGCAGTGGAAATATACTATCTATGTTTAATAGCTTGCAAACCTACTCAGGGATTTAACTTGATACCTGGAGGACTTTTTTATTATTGTAATGATTGTACATTTATTAAACTGACCTTCTGCACTTGCCATAACAAACTCTCCAAGGATATGGAAGTGCAGTTCCGGAAATATGACTTTTGTGTGAGGCCATAATGACACATTGTAGAGGACAATGTGAAAAATCTCATTCAAATATTAAGCTTCTGCAGTTGAAAAGAAAAAGATTCAAATGTAGGTGTAGTCTGCATCAAGGTGACAGAAGAAGCCAAAGCCAGTGCATCCCAAAACCCCCAATGTCAAGTCTGAGGGCAGCTTCTACTGATTACATGGGGTGGAGGGATAGCGGAGGGGAAGTCAGCCTTAAGGCCTGCACAGGGTGCATGTCTCAGTAACAGGTTCAGCTAAATTATATTTATTGGAAGTATAGAGGCCAAAAATCAGTTACCAACTTATCAGGAGTTAAATGTGCCTCTGATCAGCATTTTAAAAAACCCAAAAGGCAAGGAATATAATTACTCTCAGAAAAGTAATTTGCCTTTTGCAAAGGCAAAATACCATCGTTCATTAAATAATCCTCAAAAAGGTGAGTGGGAGGGGAAGGATGAGGGCTGAGGAAGATCAGTTCACATAGCAGCTTTGAAATGTTGAAAATGTCTCATATGACATTTTTATTTTATATGTATATATATCTCACCACTGGGGAAAGCCCTGAAGTTTCCATCACACGCAGAAATGTGTGTTGATAATTGCCTTGGGTGTCTTTCAAGCGTGGGAGATCTTGGACATGAGATTACTTGAAAATGAAAATAGAAGTCAAGTATTCGGTTCTTCCTATGAGGCTAAAAATGCTTCACTGACCAAAAAATTTCCTTGTCCACCCATGCAGTTTCCCTGCTCTTGGTAATGGCTTCCACGAAAACCTGCTCAATGATTCCCACCTTTCTGCTTTGCTTTTCTCTGATTTTCGACTGTGCTTCACAGCACTCAGCACAAATCACAGAACTTCTTAGTGTGGGGTTTTTTTAGTCTTATTTTATTTTTGTTCACTTTGCTTCTCATACCAAATTATAAAATCCTAGGCTAAGGCTACACTATTTCCTTATTTATTCTTTCTTTTATACATTCAACAAATATTTATTGAACTGTTTTTATGTGTCGGATGCTCTGTTCTTAAAAGTACCAGAGTGACTAGTGCCATTCAAGACATATCAGAATGGCTCCAAAATACAATTATTTCAAAGAGACACATCTC